CCAGGACAGGCTGGGGGCTGACCTGCTGGAGAGCAGCTCTGCAGAGAAGGACCTGGGAGTCCTGGTGGACAACAAGTTGACCATGAGGCAGCAGTGTGCCCTTGGGGCCAGGAAGGCCAAGGGTATCCTGGGCTGCATGAGGCAGAGTGTTGCCAGCAGGTGGAGGGAGGTGATCCTGCCCCTCTACTCAGCCCTGGGGAGGCCCCACCTGGAGTCCTGTGTCCAGTGCTGGGCTCCCCAGTACAAGAGAGATATGGCACTACTGGAGAGAGTCCAGCGGAGGGCTACCAAGAAGATGAACTTGAACTGGACCCAGCATTCCAGATGTGTCTCACCAGTTCTGAGTAGAGAGGAAGGATCACTTCCCTCAACCTGATGGCAATGCTCTGCCTAAGGCAGCCCAGGATACTGTTGGCTGCCTTTGTCGCAAGGGTGCATTGTTGGTTCTTGTTCAACTTATTGTCCGCCAGGACCCCTTCTCTGCAAAGCTGCTCTCCAGCTGGTTGGCCCCCAGCCCACAATGGTGCATGGGATTACTCCTCCCCAGGTGCAGAACTTGGCATTTCTCTTCGCTGAACTTCATGAGATTCCTGTAACCCATTTCTCTAGACTGTTAAGGTGCCTCTGACTGGCAGCACAACCATCTGGTCTATCAACCACTCTCCCAATTTTGAATCATCTGCAAATTTGCTTAGAGTGCACTCTGTCCCATCATCCAGGTCGTTAATAAAGATGTCAACCAGTATTGGCCCCAATATCGACACCTGGGGGACACCATTGGCCTCCAGTTGGACTTTGTGCTGCTAATCACAACCCTCTGAGTCTGGCAGTTCAGCCAGTTATCAGTCCACCTCACTATCCACTTATCTAGTCCATACTTCATCAGTTTGTCTATGAGGATGTTATGGGAGAGTGTTGAAAGCCTTGCTGAAGGTGAGATAAACAATATCCACTGTTCACACTTCATCCACAGACCAAGTCATCTCATTGTAGAAGGCTATTAGGTTGGTGAAGTGTGATTTCCTTTTCATAAATCCATGTTGATTGCTCCTGATCAACATCTTGTCCTTAATATGTTTGGAAATGGTTTCCAGGCTCCATCACTTTCCCAGGGATTGAGGTGAGGCTGACCGGCCTGTTCACTGGATCCTCCTTCTTGCTCTTCCTAAAGATAGAAGTGACATTTGCTTTCTTCTAGTCCCCAGGAACCTCCCCTGATCACCATGACCTTACAAAGACTATCGAGGCAGTGGGACGTGCCCTGGCTGTGAGGCCCTGCCCTGCTGCCACCGGGTGCCCCCGCCCCCACCGGGCCC